GGGATTATTATTGATAACACCTGTATTACTACTACTACTGCCACTGCTAATATTTATCTTTCGATTTCTTATGAATTTATTGATAAATTTTGGTGGGTAATTATTGAGACGTAGGGTATTCTTGATGTGTCTAATTTCTTGTCGCAGGTTTTCCGATCTACTATAAAGCTTTTTCGCTCTATCACTTAAGCATTTAACTAGGCCTACTTTAACTGAAATGGGGTGGGATGATTCGAAGTCTAGGTAGCGATTCGAATGGGTAGGTTTCCTATCAACACTAGTCTCTAGGTTTCCTTCTTGTGTTGATTTAATCTTGCAATCCAACAATGCTAGCTCACCTTCTTCACTTTCTAAGTCACAGGTAAATTGGATTGCATTTACTACTGAATTTATATATGCCAAGAACCTATTGATGTGTTCCGGTTTCAGTACTGTAAACGTATCATCTACATATTGGAACCATATCATTGGAGTAGGATTAAATGTTTGAAGGGCCATCTGTTCTTAACTACCCATAAATATGTCTGCGACGATAGGAGATATTGGTGATCCTTTGGCAACACCTTCAGTTTGTTTATATATTTTATTTTGAAACTTACAAACTGTAGATGTCAGGCACAACCGTACTCCTAGTATGATTTCCTCGATTGGCACCTTAGTTCGATACGTAAGTTCTTTGTCATCTTTAAGCCCATTTCTAACTGCTTCTAGAGCCATGTCAATCGGTATATTTGTGTAAAGGCTAGTTATGTCAAAACTAACCATTTTTTTCACTGTCACCTAAATGTATGTCGTCTAATCTATGCTTTAAGTCATAAGTCTCGACTGATACCATCTGGTTGCACACATCTTGATAGGTGGAGTGGCGTTCGAAGCTGTGACCGATTTAGTTGGATGGCAACTGCCTAAACATGCTTGTATACTAGACTATGAGTTACACTTGTTGTCTTGGAACTTATGATACAATTTCATTGTTCAAAACTTGGTAGGTTAAATTGAGTTTGAATCCCCAACTTGTGATTTGCGAATTACATCTTCGAACAGATGATTGGCCACGGAACCCTAAGGTCGCAGGTTCGATTCCTGATGCGGCCGTGGGTGTATCCTGCTAAAGAGTCCCTAGGACGAAACAGGTGTGGAGTGCTTCCAAATTTCTAATTTCCCTACTTAAAAATATCTCTAAACCCCTACAAAACCCCCTATATTCAATTAATGCAACTAAGTAATTCAGACTGAAATTGATTTCTTGGCAGCCTTCTATTTACTGGTGAGTATCAAATGCAAATATGATAATGTTTGCCAGTGGTAGTTACTAGCTAAGTACAATTCATTCTTTGTTTTTGATGTTAGCAGATAGACTTTTATCCATTCTTGGTTGTACTGTGTTCTCTGAGCTGGGTTGTTTAATCGTGAAGCTTTCATCGTCCTTCTAGACGACAAGAGATGCCACGAAACCAGAATTCTTTGCGGCATTAGAGTCGTGATATATGATATGATATACAGACAGATGAAAGGAACTCCAATGGGATCACCGATACCCGGACTAATTGCAGAAGCAGTGATGCAGAGATTGGAAGCCATCATCCTACTTGTGATCAAACCAAAATTCTGGATTTGTTATGCGGACGATACTTTTGTCATCATTAGAAAGATGATATAGAAAGCAATTTCATTTTGATCAACAACGTTTTCAGTGATATCAAATTCACAATGGAGAAGGAGTCAAACAACCAACTACCATTCCTGGATGTTCTAGTCAATAGAACAAATGCCGGAAATCCAAGTGTACAGGAAGCCAACACACACTGACTAAATCCTCAACTACAGTAGCAACAACCCACAAGATCAGCTGCGTACAGACTCTATTCAGAAGAGCGAGAACACACTGCAGTACAACAACTTCACGAACAAATGAAGAAAATTACTCGATGTGTCTATCCTAAACAAGAACGTCTACCCACGAAACTTTATCAGAAAATGCCTATCCCGTACATCATCAACTACAAAGTCATCGACAGGAATCAATAAACGCATCATCCTACCGTACATAAAGAATATATCAGAAATCACGATAAGATTACTGAAACCACTTGGAACTGGTGCGGCTGACTCATAAACCAACAAATTCCTTCCAAACACTATTATGCAGACCAAAGGATGCGACAACCAAAGAAGATAAACCGAATATCATTTACAAAATCAACTGGAATAACTGTAGTCAACACTACATTGAACAAACTGGTCACCCTCTTCGCCTTCGTCTACATGAACACCAATTGGCTATTTAACGTCACGACATTACATCACTCATTTCAATGCATGTGGATAACAACCATGGACATGAATACAATTTCGACAATGTAGAAATTTTGGACAGAGGAAACACCAAAAATATCAGAGAATTCCTAGAAGCTTGGCATTCAGTCGGTCAGCAATCAACAGATGTATAGACATAGACCCTATCTATCAACCAATAAGAAAGATGATAAACGACAGAAAGGTTAGAGCTGAAGCAGAGGGACAGCCAGCAGGAAAATTTATGCAGTCAGTCAATGACACAACAATCAAAGGAAACAATCAATCACAGACCGCTTCGTCAAGACAAGCTACTAAATCACTCACGGAGAGATATTTACGGCTCACTTCATACTGAAGTTAGTGCTGATGATGTTGTCTAGCAAGACGATGAGAGCTCCGCGACTGAATAACTCAGTATCTACAGTAGTAAGTAAGGTGTTTGAAAAAACATCCTCCACAGTCTAATTCGAAAATACTTTGATCTGACCTACACCACGATCAGCGTGGAGATTTCCAGCATAAACGTTGAATTTTTATTATTATTATTATAAATCCCTTGGGTTCCTAGTGGAACATAGGGCTTCAGTAGCACGCCTCCAGTGACCTCTGTTCTCTGAGATCTTTTGAACCTGGTCCCACGACAGCCCACAAGCTCTCATTTCCTCCTCGCACGACCTCCTCCATGTCACCCTCACCACGGACGTCCAACTCGTCGCTTCCCATGGGGATTCCACTCGAGGGCTTGGCGCGTGATGTCCTCCGTCGGCCTTCTCAGTGCATGGCCAATCCATCTCCACTTCTTCCTGCATATTTGTTGCGTGATAGGTTCTTGGTTGGTTCGTTCCCAGAGTTCCTTGTTGCTTATTCTTTCTGGACATCTGATCTTCAGTAGCGAGCGTAAGCAGTTGTTGATGAATGTCTGTAGTTTATTGAAAATGCCTTTCGTAACGCGCCAAGTCTCTCAACCATACAGGAGCACTGACTTGACGTTGGTGTTGAACATCCGTATCTTGTTCCGCATGCTGAGTGCAGAAGATCTCCACACTGGTTTCAGGTTAATGAACGCCTGTCTCGCTTTTCCGATCCTGGCTGACTTTGACGTCCTCGTCCGTCCCGCCTGTAGTTGAGACAGTGCTTCCTAGATAAGTGAAGGAGGTTACTTCCTTTAAGTTTCTCCCGTTGATGGTGACTGGAGTTTGTTGTTGTTGTTGATGGTGGTGTTGCGGTATCTTCATCACCTCTGTCTTCTCTATATTCACCTGAAGTCCCGTCTTCGCTGACTCTTGGAATGGAATGAATAATTGATTGACATGAGTATTAGTGCACCACTCATAACAATCAGCATGGCTCGTTGCCTGGTGTTTAGATCACCTCTTGATATGGCTAGTGAGCACCGTCGATCGGCGTGAATGGTTTGTAACTCTACTGATAATCAGTTAGTAGTAAGTTTCGTATATCGTCCAAGAAACTTTAGTGTCATGCATTTACTCATATTTTAGTTTCAGAGACTTTGGAAGCGGATTTTACTGGATCATACAACAAACTGTGAAGAGCGAGAAGAAAAGCATACGCTGGCTGGACCGATAAAAACACCCTAGAAGATTTAGATTTCGCCTATGACCATTTATATCTAATGTCTTGTCGCACAAACTCGAAGATCTACAGGCGAAAACTAACAAGTTGGCAGGAGCGGAGAGGCAGCGAAGACCAGACTTTCTTTAAGTGAACGTAGAGAAGACACAGATGATGAACATACCCAACCAACAACAACAAACACCAATCATCATCAGCGGGAGAAATTTTAAGTTGTCTATTTCACCTACCCACCTAGGCAGCATCCTCTCAAATACAGGCGGCATAGGCACAGAGGAGGATGTCAAAGCCAGCCAGGATCGGAAAGACAGCAAAACAGACCTTCCTGCATTAATCTGAAACAATCAGTTTGGAGATCTACTGCACTGCAGTCAGTACAAAGCGTGAACAACATCCGGATTTTCAACACTACTGATGTCAGTCAAGTCAGTGCTTCTATGTGATGGTTCATATACTTGGAACGTAATGAAAAGCATTTCAAACAAACTACAGACATACATCAACATCTGCCGCCTACGCTCACTTCATACTCAAGATCCATCAGACGGTCAGAGTAATAAGAATAAGCAACAACGAGCTCTGGATGGCTGGCTGGCAGCGAACCAAAAAACTAATAACCCATCACCCAACAAATATTCAGGCGAAAGCTGAGATGGATCGGGTTGGACATACACTGGGAAGACCATTCGGGGAAATCACGCGTCAGAACAGGCCGTCGAGTGGAACCCAAATGGGCGTCCGAGGCGAGGGTGACAGAGGAAATTATGTGAGGAAGAAATGAAAGCTTGTGGGCAGTCGTGGAGCCAGGTTGAATAGAACGCAGAGGAGAGAATGAAATGGCAACGTGCTACTGAAGCCCTACGTTCCACTAAGAACTCAAAGGACAAATAATAATAATAATAACGAAAATTAACGAACATCTTTCTTTTGTCTTGAGATGCAAGAAAAATAGTGCACAGTTCATTTTGAAAGAAGTAAGACACGGATAATCGAAAACAAAAGCGACACAACATAATTATTATCCAGTGTCTTCTAACAATATCAATCTAGCTAGAAATAACTCGAAAAAGTACAAATTTCTATAGCATGTATGAATGCTGATAACTCACTTTCAATTCAACATTGTAACAAATTTGATTACTTTCATTATGCAAATTGACATGAGCAGAAAATGTTTCACCCAAATAAGCAGACCTAAAAAACAGAATAATATTTTGGAAAGTAAGAAAAGCAAGCAAAATAAATGAAATTACTAGTACTTAAACTCTTTGTTTTCTTAATATGAAATATCTAATTGAATATAAGGCAAACATTCTAACCAGTCATAATGACAACAATAGGTTCAGTCCAACCAATATACTGCATCAAAGAGTTAAAGGTTGGAAAAAAGGATACATTGGATTCAAATTAATACATTACACCGTGCCACAAGTTCACTTGATCAACGAAATGTCCTGATAATGTTCAGAGTTGGATGAGTTCATTCATCCCATAGAATTTGCTCCCCTACGACCTTACATTCATAAAAATCTTTCAAAGAATTTATAACGACAACCTTCAAGAGAACGGCCGAAAGCACTTGTGCAACTCTTATTACCAGAGCGCTTAATACTGGGAATTGAAAAATCTTGATTGTGAACCAATGGTGTATATGGGCTCCAAGATCGAGAAAGGATGGATAACATATCAACCTACCTTTGTCATCAGCAACTGTGGGGACGCAGTAGTTGAAGCCGCTGTGTTACTTCATAGCATAGTCAAGGATCCATGGACGGGATCATTAAGACAACCACTTACTTTGATTTCGACATTATCTTCACTGTCATTCAACCGATATTATTGTGTAATGGAGATTTTACATCGTCCAACTTGCTTTGTCCCTAAGCCTTAAAATGCGAACGTATTTATTCCTATTACTTTCACGATATAGTTATTATCGCATTCTTATGAACCGCGCAACTTTGTTTCTGTTTTTTGTTAATCTTTACTGTGGCTTTACTTGGCTACTCGGCAATAAGTAGAATTTCAATCTGTCTATGCTGTTTTCTCTAACCAAACAGGTGCTTACAAAAAGTCGTTCGCAGCATGATATCTGATACAACTATCCTGAAACCATGAGAACAACTGTAGCTCACTGTCTTCCTCATGCAAGTCGGATAAGAGAAGGGTTTGGCTAGCACATTGGAAAGCCTAACTGTCGATGCATGTTTCAAGTACCTTCTTTGTCCATCAGCTTGAAAAGTTTTTTACCAAGTGCTTATTTGGAGAGCATAAAAAATTGGGAACGGATGATGCTGGTGTTGATGACACAGTAAGTGCTAGAGATGAAGCCACATTATTCGATCGGGTCTGTACTAACAGTCATTTGTGTGCAGTTGGGTCACAAAGTCCGACCAGAATGTGAAATAACAGCCTAGCAGAATGATATGTCTCTTCGATATTTCCGTTTATGATCCAACCGACTGCAGCCCTAATACGTTTGAGGATAAGGTCTACCATCAGTTGAGCATATTATACCACGTTTGCTTGATAAATATGGTAGTGATAGATGGAGACTTAAAATTTAGAAGTTAGGCGCTTTAGTCCACAGGAGACTTACGTGGTTAATGAGGATAGGTTGGGCTCCGGTTGGGAAATGAGGACCACCTTCTGTAGCTTTGTGTAGATAACCTAATTCTAGTCAGCAGCGAACTGCAGTAGTCATTACTACTGTGTTCTCTGGTAATGATCACTTACCACTCAACCATAAACTGAAATAGATGGGGAGGTAATTTAGTACAACGATTTGATTTCATTTACAATTGATGCTTATTTTGTCTGGGCTCTGATCAGGCTTCAGTGGATTCTAAGTTCATTTCGTGTTATGATGGTCATCAAAGTTACCTTTTTATTAGAGTCAACATCAACAAATGGGTTATATTCTAACTGCATTTAAGTAGCAAACTAAGCTATATTCAAGACTGGTTGTTGAACCTTGAGAAAGTATAGATGAGCACTGAGGGCATCTAGAATAACCAAGAACATGGCGAAATCATACAGCTTCAAAGAAAGTTTAACTAATAAACATTGGATCACCATAACTTTCTTGCAACTTCTTGACACTCATTTGTTCATTTCAGTGAACAGAGAATATAATGTAATACGTAAGTTCCTCACAAAACAAATCATATAGTGCTAACGTGAGGACCGTGAAGCCTAATGGCCATAACACATAAGTGATATGGAATCAGCACCGGCATCTGTTGAAATCTGTTTTAGGATGACCAACTTATCACTAGAAAGAAACCTGATACCACTGCAACAGTCTCAGGTTTATAATACACCGATCAACAACTCTCAAAGACACTTGGAATGCTGGAAAGGATACTTCAAGAAGCAGTTTGGCTGGTCTTCAGCTCCAAGAATCTCGTTTTGTAACGTGCTGAGCACCATGGTTGGTTAACATTGGTTGATTTATACTGGGTGAAGAACGAAGGTAAAATGAAAATTTGAATCGCAGCCAGATTCGAACCAGTGACCACCGGGTTTCTGGTTCGATGCTCTACTAACTGAGCTACGAGATCCGATTGCTGATTTGATGGAGAACATGTTCAGATGAAACTCTAAGTACGGAAATGATGTGGGGCAGTTTGCTGAGAAAGCCCTTATACGATAGGTGTAGCTCACTGTCTACTGCACGAACGTGAACTTTATTGTTGAGTACATTCCAATTTCTAAACAAGTAAGCGAAACTGTGGTCAAGGAACTATTTAGATTACTTAAGCTTCCATCTTTAGGAACTCACGTAATGCATGTGAATAACACTGGAGTATCAGCATCTAAAATATTGGCTGTGGTTACAGTGCAGTAGGCGTTGCTGATAAAAATGGATATAAGTAGTATATGTTGAGACGGCGGCAGAAATTGTAGGCAATTACCAGCAATGGGCAAAGATTCTACCCAGAGAAACTCAAGAGAAAATGCGGGCGTATTAAGAGCAAATCAAGAGAGAAGTAGAAGAGGAAATGAAGCAGATTATGCAAATGACTGTCTTAGTGGAAGGTATACAATATTTAATGACTACTGTACCATACCAAATGTCAATAAACATTCCTTCCTTCGTCTCCGTCTTGTCGTTTCCTTCAATAACTCACAAGCTATTCAAAATGAACGAAAAGCTAGATCACTATAAGAAGTTTGATTTTCGATAAAACTGAGGTTGTACTCACTCTGAATTAGATATTCTAACTATGTCACATATATCGCAGGCCAAAAATCGTTGTTTTTTAACATTAGAACCGCCTTCCATTTGTTAGATAAGACTATGCTCTGAAGTTGTTGACTAGAATTTTAAGGAACCTCATGCACAAAAATCAGCTTGAGTGAGGGCATACTACTACTACTAAGAAACATCAGTGAGTTAAGATAGGGTTGCTCAATTTCATAACTTCCTCTCAACTTTGTTGTCAATGATATACTTCGGACACCTCTAAAGGGGCAACACGGTACTCGTACAGAACTTGATACTTGGGTGAAAGAATTTTCCAACTTGAGTGCGTAAACGATGTTATCACACACTGTCATATCTGATGCCATCATGAAGTTAGTCTGACTGTAAGATTCGGATGTGTGACGAGTCAATCACAGCGATTCTGTTCTAAGAGTGTGAAACTTGGAAATGTCCATCCCCTTATCCTCCATAGATTTGCTAACACCTAGTAGAAATACATGACCTCGCCTAGTTTACTAGTTCACTAGTTACTAGCTGGTCCTAAGACCGGATAAAGAGTGAAGGTTGGTCTAGAAACCCTAACCCATAAAACCAATCCAATCACCAAACAGACTTCAAAGAACAAGAAAAATATAAAAAATAAACTTATTCCTCGCTGGAATCGATGAGACGTAGTAACGCCGATTGATGAAACCCTTCGGGAAGCCAATTGGCCGATGTGTCTTCTCTCCATCGATAACAGCAAAAGTAATCATAGGAACATGGAATGTCCGCACAATGTTTGAAGCTGGCTAGCAAGACTGCCCAGATTGCCAAACAGATGAGTAGATATAGCATAGAATTGCTAGGAATCTGCGAAAACAGATGGAATGGAAGCCGACTTTCCAAACTGTCAACTGGAGAGTCAATAATCTACTCCGATATTGTCACCCAGACGACAACCACAAGCACACTAAGTTTTCCAGTGGGTATCATGATGTCCTCTTGCAGAGCATCGAAAGCAGTCATGTAGTGGGAACCAATCTCCTCCAGAATCAGGATCATCATAGCAAGATTCAAATCACAATCTTACAACGCTACGCTACGCACCTACAAATAATGCAGATGAAGAGAAGAAGGAGGAATTCTACACGCAACTGCAATCAGAAATGGAAAAGACCCCACCCCAGATGGTAACGCCAAAATTTTAATGGCTACATGAGTGCCATACTGGGAGCAGACAACACAGGAAGAGAACTTATCATGGGTCGAGAAGCACTTGGTGAAATGATGAGTGAAAATGGAGAACTGTTTGCAGACTTCGGCACATTCAACGATTTGGTGATTGGAGTCAGCTAGTATGTACAAACACAAGGATATTCACAAGGCATCGACATGGATTTGATTTCACCAGATGAACACATTACACTAAAAAATCAACTTCATCTTAATGTGAAGAAAGTGGAGATGCAGTTTACTGGACACAAGATCAGATCAAGAAGGGAATCAGATCTAGGTGGTTCACACAACTCACTATCTAGTGCAAGGAACCTACCTTCAAAATCAAGTTGAAAGCCTTCACAGAAGCTGGCAATAGACGACCACAGTTCAAGTTGAACATCTAGAAGAGAAAGTGAAGAACGAAACTACAAAGCACATCTTCACGTCAGCCAGTAGTAATCAGGAAAAAAATGGGAGACACTAAGCAACATCCCCGAAGAAACCTCCATAAAAGAACACTGGAACTCCCTGAGAGAGATGTGGAAGGAAACCTGCCTAACCGTGTTAGGAAGGAAGAAGAGGTAAGACAAAGGAGTGAATGGATCTCGACGGACACATGGAAGCTGATAGAGGAGGGAGAGGAAGATGGTGGAGTAGAAGATGAACCACTGCAAGGCAGTGCAGTACAAAGATGAACAACGAAAAGGGGAACTGAACAAAATCTAAAAAATACTAAACCGGACAAAGAAGTGAAGAAGAGTGTTCGCAAAGACAAAAGACACCTCTACGATACAAATGCAAGTGAAGTAGAGCAGGCTGCAGTTAGGAGAGACCTGACAATACTATATAAAATAACCAGGTTACTATCTGGGGAGAGAGCAACGCAGATGAAACCAAAGAGGGATAGTGACGGAAACATAGTTACCGAAGAGGAAAAACAAAGGAAACGATGATGCTGACCACTTCAGAAAACTATTGATCCGACCACCACCTGCAACTCGTACAGAAATACCACCAGCAACCGCAGAATTACCAGTGAAAACAAGCCCTCCGATAAAAGCAGAAGTAAGGTCCTGAATGCCATATATATGAGGCGTTAACCACTATGCCACGGAGGAACAATAGCCACTTCTCGTACAACGCGTAGTAGTCATTACTACTTATTGACACACTTGTAAACAACGGAGAATTAAAATTATATCAATAAATAATAATTACCACTAACCGTTGTACAAAAATGACTATCGTTCCTCCGTGGCATAGTGGATAACCCCTTGACGTTTGAACCGACGGGTATGAGGTCCCAGATGCAGTGAGAACAACATCAACCACTGAGGTGCAGGTACATCCAGCTGACGAGTCCCAAGTGAGACGAAACGTGTGTCCTGGATTTCCCTGCTAGCCACAACTAACCAAATTACCATAATTAACACTCAGGTAATATCGAGGCATCCACATTGGAGCCCATATGCCAACAGAGGTCGAACAATTCGATCCAATGAAACGACGGAGAATTACAAGTATGTCAACAAATAGTAATAACAAGAAATCTAGTTTATATTCACATATGACATCAACTCTTAACAGAATCAAAGTCTACACAACTTATCACTTAGATAAAACGAAGATCCGCAAGAGTATTGATGCTTCTAGTACAACTCAAATTCACTGATCCATCATCGTTTTAAAAAACAGAAATATACTCAATTAGAATTACTGGGCTGCAGCAGAGAACTCCTTTTGGGAAACTCAGATACCAATTGTTAGTAGATTAGAAGAAAAAACAACCGACTTCGATTGATACACAACAGTTTTGTATAAACATATCCTGAACAAGAAGATCTTATTGTTAGCAACAATCAGAATAGGCGAAACACTCAATAAAGACGAATTCAACAGTCAAGTGCATGTTCGTGTAGCAGATAATTAGTCATCATCATCATCAATATCAGCATAAGACCAGGCATTGCTGCCTAACGGTCCCAGTTGACACAGCTTATATGAATACATAAAGTAAAAAGACAGTGAGGTGAAAGATGAAGTTAAGAAAACTCAGTCAAAAGAAATATAAAGTAGGAAAAGAGAGAAAGGAAGAATGAGAAAATGGTGAGATTCGGTATAGCGTCGTTAAGATGACAATAATGTCTGTGTATGTATAGATCTGTGCTACTCACATCGGTTCTCAGTCATGTGATCACCTAGAGTCAGTCTCCAACCACTGGTTCCTCTTGTCCTGCGAACCCCAACCGGCTAGTCTGCATCGCCCCACATGGCTCAAACTAACAGTCAGAGACTTCATGCATTGGTGCCATGTTTTAGTCTGGCCACCTCGGGCCTTTCTCCAGCCTGGGCCTACTTCAGCCAACATTGTGTGACGAGGCAATTGGAATACGGCCTATACTACAAAGGCGAAGGTGGTCAAACACCTGAAGCCAGCCTTCTCATATCTTCCACCTGCAATGGTCATGTTTCACAGCCATACCGAACTTCTGTGCATATGCAGTACATGAGACCCTTAGTAGACAATCGGATATCACGGCGGTGGCGCCATAGGTGGCGTAAGTTGGCAAAAGCCAGTCGAGCCTTTTGTATCTATGCAGAGATTTCATCGGCCACTGAGCCACCAGGGCAGGGCTGATCCTAAATCCCAGGTCAATGAAGTGGTCGATACGTTCAATCACTTCACTATCTATTGTTAACCGTGGCACCGTTGAAGACCAATCCTGGAGCAACAATTTGCATTTGGGTGGTGACCGCTAATGATACAAACAAGTTAACAAGACCTAGGAAGGTAGAGTTGGTAAGTGAGTGTCTAAATGAATGTCACAGATCTACAATTAGAAGGCTATGAACTTATTGCTTAATGATGTTATCGAAGTCTAGTCACATAGGGCAGGTATCTTACCAATATAGATTAATTGATTTAGAGACCAAAGAAGGAAAAATAGTGAACGATAACCAAAATTTGAAACAGAATATAAGTAAAAAAAACGATGAGCCTTCCATTTAGATAACTGTTCCTACTGACTTACCTAGAAGAATGAGGTAAACCTAACAGTTCACTGAATCCTCCAATTTTGGGTTGAATAAATTCATAATTTTGTTTATCAATGTTTAGCTTATTATTATCACAGTTTAGTAATTCATCAGAGTTAGACGTCGGTATATTTCCAGTTGGTCGAAGGTGTAATGCAATACCATCAAGATCTCCACGAATACTTGCATCAGCAGCAGTTAAACATCCAGCTATATCATCTAGATAAAGTTCAGCTGGTTCACATTGTTGCCTAACAAGTGTTGGACGATTCAGTCGCATAACTAAAAGTAAAAATTTGATAAAATTAATTTTTCGCCAGAAATGAATAACTACACCTGTCCTATAAGACCTGTGATAATACTCAACTGTACCATCAATCATGGTAGATGGACAGGGGTCAAACTTATGACCTAGTCGAATGCCTAATACAATGAAGGAGTCACGTCAAGGTCAATATTACCGTTCAAATCCTGTGAATTTGAAGAATACATGATAACTTACAACTTCATGAAAGAAAGTTTGGATTGGACACAAACCTTTTTTGGCTTGTATTCACCTTCTAAAGAACTCAAGATGGGAAAAAAAACTAGGACAAAAAGAATGAGGTGAAGAGCAAAACATAGCAGGAAATGTAATATAAATGAGCATAGACATATAAACGAAGTAAGTATTTGGTTCGAAAAACGCACTCATGAAATCAACACAGAACTTAGTATACAGGTGCAGCGGTTCAAGATTTACTTCAAACTAGCATGTGAAGAATAAGTGGTTAGAAAAAAACTGATATCAAAGGAGACAGAGGTGAATGAGAGAAGAAACGACCGGAAGACAAAGGTTGGTGAATATATCTGTACCATTGTGACTAATCTCTAGCCATTTTACCAAGAGTTCCTAACCATTTATTGAATTTGGAAGTTTGAGGGGATTTAGAGATTTTTCAAGTTGGTATTCATTGTGCTATGTCGTGAACTGACAAAAGTTGGAAATATGCACCATTAGATTCTGACCCAGTGGCTCAATGGTTACGTGCTGGTCACGGAACCTGAAGGCCCTGGGTTCGACCCCTGGCGGGGTCGTGGGTGCACACTGCTGAAGAGTCCCATACTAGGACGAAACAGCTGTGCGGTGCTTCTAAGCTTCCAATGTCCCTCCAGCTGATGTCAAATCATGGTGAATACTAACTTTAATAACTATTTATTCCTATGGTCTCAAGGACCCTAGCCAGGTAGTCTACAGCTCCTCGTAAGGATAAGACGAATAGTCAAAGACTTCATAGATTGGTGTCACGTCCCATCTGGCCACCCTCAACCCTCTTGCACAACCTAATTCAACATCCCCTAGCATGGCACGTCGAGGTATGCGCAGCGCACGCCAACGCGCAAGTGAACTTAGTAGCTGAAGGTTTGGAACCTCATCGACTGGCTTTCCTTCCTTGACTAGTACCTTCCACTTAACCTTGACATTGCTATCGTGATCCCACCATATGTGAGCAATGCTACGAAGATATCTGTGGTCAATAACCTGTAATCTCTTCACATCTACTTTCAATGGTTATGTCTCACAGTCGTATTATAGGATAGTATGGGCTACTTTTTTTCCAGTGAAGTTGCAGAGTGGCTCTTTGGAACGGGTAATCAATGGGTTAGAGTTCAACTGCAGTTACGTGGATGATACATTCCTACTTCTAAAGAATGAGAAAAACGCAAGGCCTCTATTGGATGCGTTTGATGACATTTATACAATAATCGCCTTAACTATCAAGAGAGAAAATAAGAACATTATCACATTTTTAGATGTTCTTTCGATTAGACAAATGGATTAAGCAAAAAGAGGAGAGCACATCAGCATGTCAGCATACTGATTTCATACCTTAGCAATATAAACAAAGTTTATCAAAGTGTTTAGTCCACTAAGGGAGAGTTATCTGCTCAGACGATTTTTTCGATGAGGACCTTTAAATTATTCATGGCCTATTCAGTAGTAATGGATAACCTGTGAAGTTCCTAACTGAGCATATGTATTCTTTTAATACAAAAATCAGAGCATTAGAGCATAGTGGTTCTTATAACTGTGGTTTCGCGACGACATCAACAAGCCTATGATACAGCACCTAAGGAATTCTTTATAAATATCATTCACTGCAGCGACGTTATGCTCTTTATTCTACAGTCAACCGCTGCTGAATACACGAGTTAAAGACAAATTGTCTGATTCCAACTCTTGTATGTGGATTTACTAGTTAAACACCTCCAGTGGAGTCAGTTACATCGAGAGTACGATTAAGCAACTCCAAACATAACTCGTCATAGGTAAGCAAAGTACATAAAAGATCAACACGCAGGTAAATACTGTTAGTTGGTTGGAGGCACTCAGCAGGAAACCCTGGACCTAGGTTACATGCTTTTTGACACCCGTCAGCATGTTGTATCTGCAACTTTAGTGGAACTGATATCCCGCCTGAGATTCGGAATCACGTCACCCAGTGTCTATGTCACGATTGTCTTGTGTGAATGGATTAGATCTCAATAAAGAGTAACCAGTCTTGAGTGCTGACCAAATCACATCAATTATTCTGCAATATGGTCAGGCTCACCATCACCATGCAGTCACATATCGAGTTGATACTGGACACCCCATCGATATTGACAATACTCTTAGAGTTGATTTATTACATCCCTTCTAGCCTTACTTATGCTTTAGAAGTTTGTTTTGTAGACACAACAGAATCTAACGAGATTCACTTTAATAAACCGTGCTTGTGTGTCCAGGAGAAGTTTGTACAACCTCTTTTTCCATGTGAGTAATTTATGCTAAAATGACGCTTTTCCTTACTTATATACTATTACCATCAAAACTGGCACTATTATTATTGCAATTTGGCTGGTTGTAGGTAGCAAAGGAATCCAGGACGCGCATCTCGTCCTACTTGGGACTCGTCAGCTGGGTGTACCTACACCCCAATGAGAGATGTTGTTCCCACTGAGACTCGGACCTCGCACCCATTGCTTCAAACACTAAGGCGTTATCCACTATGCCACGGAGGAACAATAGCCACTTCTCGTACAACGGGTAGTAGTTATCACTAAGCGGATGCCTCGATATAGCCTGAGTGTTAATTATGGTAATTTGGTTGGCCCAAATGCCAATAGAGGTCGAACAATTTGATCCAATAAAGGCGACGGAGAATTACAAGTATATCAATAAATAATAATAACCACTAACCGTTGTACAAAAAATGACTATCGTTCCTCCGTGGCATAGTGGATAACCCCTTGACGTTTGAACCAACGGGTATGAGGTTCCAGATGCAGTGAGAACAACATCAACCACTGAGGTGCAGGTACATCCAGCTGACGAGTCCCAAGTGGGACGAAACGCGTGTCCTGGATTTCCCTGCTAGCCACAACTAACCAAATTACCATAATTAACACTCAGGTAATATCGAGGCATCCACATTGGAGCCTATATGCTAACAGAGGTCGAACAATTCGGTCCAATGAAACGACGGAGAATTACAAGTATGTCACTGAATAGTTATTATTATTATTATTACAACTTTAGCTAATTTTATTCTCCCTCCTATGTCTCTAATTATTCTCACGTGATTATCGTCAACAATATACCGCCTGGCTAAATTATCTATTCTCTCGTCTAACTAACTAACAGTATACAAACTATCAGTTACATAAAAAAAACTGTTTAAGTATTCACAAATTTTATCCTTAAACTACTGTTATACTTCCTCCGATTAACTATCACGTCGTGACAATTTTATTTTTGGCAATCTATTACTCATTAACTTATGTCTGTTACACTGGTATGTTATTTTGTACTTCTAAGATGCTGTGTAACATTACTTGCGTTTGATGGAATCATCGTGTAAGTAATGTTGAGGTCAAGTGAAGGATACTAGACAGCAAGATAGGCAAGTCAATTGGTGAGGTTGTGAACCTTCATCGACTGAAATGGCTTGGATATGCACTCCACATGCCGAACCACCGTCTACCTCGATGTACAATGATAGGGGAAGATGGATCAGATTCAGGGTGGCTAGAATTAACATGCGGTACTAGTACATGAAGTTTCTAGCTGTTGGTCTGAACTGTGTCCGAAGATGTAGACTACCTGATTGGGGTGCCAGAGACGAAATGTATCCATGGTTGAGGATTTCTAGTGACATGGTTTTAAATCAGTCACAGTGGCCCAGATGTATTCACTCCTTGGCATCTTCTAAATATTCACAGTAACCTCTATCTTCACATTACTTATTCTCTCATACGACTTCGTCTATTCCGACATCACTCTTTTCCATCCACTTGTCTTCTGTATGCTAATGCGAAATGTGGCAACTTGAAGGCACATGTGTGCGAGGTTCTAGGTTGATTTTGTCTGTTAGTCAGAGCCATCAGTGAGTAGCTAACTGAGAAGAAACATTCCTTCGCTCAGATTATCAATATTATCAACCCATTTGAATCACTTGAGATGGCACATCGATGTGACAAGCTTATCATTGATATTGGTCTTTCAGTGACCTTGTGCACACTCGTGCAATAGGCAAGGAACAATATCTATTTTGTGAGGGCTAATAATACTACCTTGATGCTCAAACCTCGGTAGATGGAGCGGTGATTGAACCCATGATTTATTGGCTGAAAGTCAACTACCTCAACCAATGAGTCATGCCCTCATCTTTTATATTACTGGACTGAATTGGTCAGTCACTCCTGGCATGAAGGCTCCTTGAATGGAAGCCTCAATAGTTTTAAGTCTCGATTTAATATTACTTGCTTGATGGTGGTTAACAGTAGGATTGAGGACTCATGTTTCGTCACGGTTTATACTCGTCAGCCAAGTGTGTCTAGACCCATCGCTAAAAATGCCACAGCGTTATCAACCAGACTACGCAATCACGACAGCCACTCGCTGCGGAACAGGTATCATTCCTTACATAATGATGTTTTTAGTTTTCTGTTGATTATTATTACACTGGACCAAACTGAGCAATCACTTAGTGGGGATATCAACACTTTTATTATTATTATTATTATTAGTCCCTTTGGTTCCTAGTGGAACATAGGGCTTCAGTAGCACGTCTCCACTCCACTCTGTTCTCTGAGATCTTTTGAACCTGGTTCCACGACAGCCCAGAAGCTCTCATTTCCTCCTCGCACGACCTCCTCCATGTCACCCTCGGACGTCCAACTCGTCCCTTCCCATGGGGATTCCACTCGAGCAACTGGCCTGACGCGTGATGTCCTCAGTCGGCCTTCTCAGTGTATGCCCAATCCATCTCCACTTCTTCCTGCATATTTGTTGCGTGATAGGTTCTTGGTTGGTTCGTTCCAGAGTTCCTTGTTGCTTATTCTTTCTGGCCATCTGATCTTCAGCAGCGAGCGTAAGCAGTTGTTGATGAATGTCTGTAGTTTATTGGAAATGCCTTTCGTGACGCGCCAAGTCTCTGAGCCATACAAGAGCACTGACTTGACGTTGGTGTTGAAAATCCGTATCTTGTTCCGCATGCTGAGTGTAGAAGATCTCCACACTGGTTTCAGGCTAATGAATGCCTGTCTTGCTTTTCCGATTCTGACTTTGACGTCCTCGTCCGTCCCGCCTGTAGTTGAAACAGTGCTTCCTAGATAAGTGAAGGAGGTTACTTCCTTCAAGTTTCTACCGTTGACGGTGATTGGAGTTTGTTGTTGTTGTTGATGGTGGTGGTGCGGTATCTTCATCACTTCTGTCTTCTCTATATTCACCTGAAGTCCCGTCTTAGCTGCCTCCTCTGTCAACTTGTTAGTTTTTGCCTGCAGATCTTCAAGTTTATGTGACATTAGGCATAAGTCATCGGCGAAATCCAAGTCTTCTAGGTTCTTTTCCGTCGTCCAGTGTATCCCCCTCTTCTCGCTGCCTACTGTTTGCTGCATGATCCAGTCCACCACAATTAGGAATATCATGGGGATAGTAGGCAACCTTGTTATATCAACACTTATTGGGATTCAAATACATACACTTGACGAGCCCCAAATAGGACGAATTGCACATCGTGAATTCTGCTGCTAGCCACTAACACAATAGCTAAACAGTGAATGCACTGTGACTATCAATGGTAAAGATTGTAGGAAAGTCCCAGATTTGCATGAAACATCGTCTATTAATGTAAACATTTTTAAATTGTCGTTTTCGCGCCATTTCTTATGACATGACCAGTAATCTATTTTTCCTCCAGTTTCAAGGTGAAGCACTGATTGGTTAATGCTAGCTTTAACATGTTAATATTTCAAATTCTGGACAAGGTCATATATCATATATATCTACATACACACGTGTTTTTGGGTTAAGTGACTATTCTTCTCAGAGGAATAAACTCTGTTATCCAGTTCAGTCTCCTTCTCCATTTCATCCAGGTTGAAGTCAGTGCACCTTGCGTACGAAGTTAGCTGTCAGTCAAACGTGTATATTATTTCTTCTGGAAAGATATGACAAAGATTTAAAAAATGGTTCCAGATTTAGCCAATAGCTTAATCAAAGTAGTTACCGACACAGCTTGATCCCTTCGTAAACACTAAAAGAACACACAATTCATTAATATAAGTGTAAATATGAAACATTAAAATAGCTGGCCATTATTATTTCCAAGGTCAAATGTGTCCTGGATCGATGAGATATTTATAGTCTAAAATGTTATTTCTATCATCATAACATGATCTGATGTGTGTGTGTATGTGTGTCTGTTTTCTAGAATGAAGGAGGGAAAAACTAATCTACTATCGCCCAGTTAGGGCATAAACAAACATACACATCAATGAACCTATCACCTTTTTCAAGGGCATACACAAAAAAAGGAGAACAAGAAGAAAAGGAGATTGGTTATTACAACAGTGTATACATATACGCACACTACCAGCAGGATAAACTAATCCTGGTTACATTATTATCTTACAATAGGGTATAGCAACGATACTAATTGTTATCTAACTTGATGAGATCATGAACCAGTTTACAATACTGTAGGATTAAACCTGACGCAATAACAGCACAATGGAATATATGAAAAACCTAAAATCTCATTTGTTAATACTGTAAACTGATACAAACTGGAAGAAAGGGAATTATGATCATTTTGGAAAACTAAAAGCATCAACAATATATCTTGTTAAAATGGAATGGCTTTATTGAATACAAAGATAGTAGTATTTCAATTATTTCTGTAGAAAAAAAAGATGTAAATCATTATGGAGACCTTTTTATAACCTATGGAACGAGATGTAAATATGCCTATACATATATAATATAGCAGTTACTCTCTCTCTCTCTCGCACACACACACACACACACATAAATCCACCACCGAAAACACATACTGTCCCCATTGACTAGGATATATTAGGCAGACAGAGCTTTACGCCTTGTTCTCACAACACAATGCAAACGCTATTATCAGAATTCCTTATCTCATTATATTTTTATACTATGATATTGTACTGTTATAGTCTATGGGGTTGTTATTGTACAATGCATCAACATGAGTTATCATCCCTATCATTACCATCAGGAAATACACATCAACAATATATAACTTCTACTTATTCAGATATATTTAAACTTTTAAATTGTACAGTAGATTATATCATTCAATTAGGAGTTAAACCAGATATTCAGCATAAAGAAGATACATTGTTAGAGCATTCAAAACAATCACCTGTACTAAGTGTAGGCGCATATCAATGGATTGAATTAACATGTACATGTTGTTGTGCCTATCCTGATCAATGGAAACAGATTACTAATACACAATTAATACAAACAATGAACCAGACAGCTGTTAATCAGTCATTGGATAATAGTAATTATACAACAACAACTTTACTATATAAGATTACATCATCGAATGGACATGTGATTGCATTATCACTTTCTAAAAAGATTCATTCTAATATTCATTTATATCATTGTGAGAATATAACTACAACTGCTGCTGCTATTGACACTGATACATATAATAGTAATAGTAATAATGATTCTATTTGTATTACTTTATATTCAGAGATTAAATGTAATGCACCGAATGGATTTTATATGCATGCAGAGAATTTAGGTCATAGTCAAATTACTGCCACATTGATATGGATGAATAGTACATCAAGGAAGCATATTGATTCATTAACAAAGATGACAGAGTCATTTGGCATTATAGACGATCATCATGGTGCTACTGGTACTGTCACAACAACAACAACAACAGTTACAATGACAAGCCCAGCACATATGAAACAACATCAAAAACAATTACAAGAACAAACTCAATATCAGTTAGCAAATAAAGGAATCAATGATATACTGGATCCAACACAAATTAAAATTACCGATGCAAAATTTATGTGCCCCAGTTAAAAACTGATAAATTAATCAATTCATCTAGTAATACTTTGAATAATAATTTGAATGGTACATGGAAAAGTTATCTTTGGTTAACAGTTTTATTAAGACCACAAAAATTTTATATCGCTTCAGATTGGAGTTCAGCGGTGATAGCATTTATGCTTGCCTTATCTGTTGGCTGTTGTGATGATCCTATCTTGGTTAGAGAACAATTATATGAACCAAAGCCTATACTGACTGGTTTATTTTGTCAGTTGATTATAATTCCAATGGTAAGTAGTATGTATACATTCATGTATGAATGTATATTATCATGAAATATTACATTGACCAGTTCTCTGAAGTGAAATTCTAGGTAACATACAAACTTTCTGGTAGGTGATTCCATTTCAGTCTGTTTATTAGAAATATCACACACTGAAACAACTAGAGTCCTAAGGTCAGTCCTAAGCTAGAGAAAGACCTTAACTTCAATGTACCAGTTAGTGAATAAACAAACAAGACATCATTCCAAAAACAGAAACAGTGTGAAGTTCAATAGATAAGACAATTACAGATGAGCGAAGAGCATAGTATGCTCCAACACTGAAATGATAGAAGAAAATGAAACCAAATTTACTAAGCCAGAAAGAGAAGCTCTCAGGAACCTTCAAAATGATAACACTATAGTAATTACCAAATCGGATAAGAGCAACTTGACAGCTGTAATGAACAATTTTAAGTACATTTACAAAATGAATGAGGGAATAGAAACAGGACCCATATGAGAAAATTAAGAAATCAGTGGATACTATTATGAATAAGGTTAGAAAATCTATAGGGGATCTGAAACGCCAGATGAAGCCGTTTCTAGGTGAGTCGAAATGGCTTTATTTAACATCGGAAAGTTATAATTCCAGTAAAATTTATGGTATCATTAAGATTCATAAGCGAGGATATCCTATCAGGTTTATATTAGACTTTAGAAACACTTCGACTTAAGAGATGTCTAAATATTTAGCAATGGTGCTAGGCCTAATAAGAAATTCCTCAAAATCTCGACTTGTTTACTCATATGACTTAAAGCATAGATTAGATGATATACCTATCCATAGGAGTGAAGTGGTTAGCTTTGATATAACTAGCCTTTACACAAATATACCGATTGAAATGGCTCTAGAGGCAGTTAGAAATGGGCTTAAAGATGACAAAGAACTTAAGCATCGAACTAAGGTGCCAATCGAGAAAATCATGCTAGGAGTACGATTATGCCTGACATCTACAGTTTGTAAGTTTCAAAATAAAATATATAAACAAACTGGTGTTGCCAAAGGATCACCAATATCTCCTATCGTCGCAGTCATATTTATGGAAAGTCGGGAAAGGATGACTTTTTAAACATTTAATCCTACTCCAATGATATGGTTCCGATATGTAAATGATACGTTTATGCTAACTTAAACAGAAAGTTAAAGTCATTTTTGAACAAATAAGTGTATACATCACCTACTTTGAATATTACTCAAAGCTACAAGCATCTTCTCGATTAGCTTTTTAAGCTACTCTAGTCTAGAAGGAATATTCTTCAGCGTGTTAAGTACTCAGATTTCAACAACTTCACCTTATTGTAACATACTAGTCGACTGATATTATTGGCTGTTTTATACCAGTCGGAGTAGATAAACAAAGTCATGAATAGTAAACGTTTATATCCACTCCATTCAAATTCAACTTCAGTACCTTTCTTAATTATAGAGGTGAAATTGAGGAGGAACTGACAACTTTGCACAGTACGCTAACCGAAAATGGCTACCCTGATAAATTCATAAAGAAATGTATGATTATAAAAATGGTAAGAAAAAATATTTCAGCGGCTAGCAGGAAACCAATATGCATTTCAATACAATCTAGAGGTGATATGCTTAACGAGATATTAATTCACGAACTACGCAGATCAATTCAGGGAAATTTTAATGCTGATAGCTCCTGTGGAGCCAGTTATATTGGCCACTTTGTTCCGTGCTCGAGAACACCTCTCAGTATGGTTAAGTAAAAGTGTGATAAAAATCATTACCACTTCCATACTAGCACACGTGGTCGAAACGAAACATGAGGTGGATATGCATAAGACATTCTCCATCCTCTACCGGGTTCCTATCAGCTTGCCAAAAGGTACCCAGCTCCAAATCCTCCAGACTGAAAAAAAACAGTGACAATCAGGAACACTCAATCTGAGTTATCTGTCCAAAAAAGCGAGCACTGCCACTACAATTACCACGGCCCAACTCGAGACGCAAATAATTCTGTAGTATTCTACCGCCGGTTAATCTATTTTTTTTATTTCACACTATAGATATTCCTTCACCACTATAATCTGAAGTAGTTTAGGCACATTCTCTCAGCCTATTTTGTCCCTCGGCATGAGTGAGATTCCACTAGGCTATTGTTTCATTAAGCTATCACCTTATAGTGTTACCTACGCTGTATAGTCGTTTAGATAATCAACTACTGCGAGTTGAATTCCAGTGGTAATTGATTCTGATTCTAACACTCGTGAAGACCTTTCTGAACTGACTTTCATGTTTGTGTAAGGTTATTATCAAATTGATTAGCGAAATCTCAATATCGTTGACGTGTGATTCCTCAATATGCACATATAACTGAAGCACACAAAGAAGAAGTTATCGAAAAGACCATTTTTTGTTCACTCAAATAGTTTTTAATCACAGACATACAAACAAAATGTGATCAAAACATTAACTGTAATGAATTTCCATAAATTTACTTCTTCACATTTATGACTGATGTTTCAGTAGCCAAATATTGCTGAGGATATGTGTCATTATCGACTTAGGTGACTGGGATATGCCTTACGCATTCCACTTCATCACTAAAACCGATATCGGAAAGCTAGCTGGACTAGGACTTAATGAGACTATAGCTAAGCGTGTATTGATGTAAAAACATGTGGCATAAATCTATGAAATCTCTATAACACCTTTTTGTAGGAGCTATGTAGACGAATGTAAACTATCTTAGTTGTAATCCTTAGAATGTTAGAAATCAGTGATTGAAAATTCTCAATGATATATGTCAGAATTAATTACAGTAGTGTAGATAAATGGTATCTATAATCTTCGAATTAAATATGAAACTGTAAATGAATAGTTTTCTAAACGTGTTCAAAGTGTGAGCACTATGAAAAATAGTTTATTTGAAAGTATGAAAGAAGAAAACATATTTCAATGAAGAGTCACCATTTTTTCAATATAGACAATTCTGTTTAATATGACTACACCCACACCCTTGTCCAAACTTGTTATTATCAATTTTTTGTTGTATCTCAGTTGTCTCAGTTATTCTCTGTGCTTTTTTGTTCCATTTAACGAAAATATCTCATTCCTGTGAAGATATATAGAAGATAACAGCATAAATGTTGGGATACCGACCTCCCGCCTAAAGGAATTGTTACTTAGATACACATTTAACGACATGATTTGTAGACAGAAAAAGTGGAATCGCCATCAGATACCCACTAGGTTCACTACCAGCAGACTGCTTTATGACTAGTTTGGAGAACGGACCCTTGAAATCAACGACTGAACTTTGTCAACAACACAAAACATACATCAATGATAGTTTTATGATCTCTGATCATGAATATGATTTGAATCATGTTCTACAAATATTCAATAACTATCATTCAGCAATTAGATTCAACCTTAAGATTGAAAATCGATCAAAAATTCACTTGCTTGATGTAGAGCTGACAAGAACAGCTGATGGAACGTTAAGTAGATTACTTTATATAAATCCAACGTAGAATGGTCAGCTGACGAACTTTAATAGCTGGGTCCCTATGGGTCGTAAGCGAAACTTGATCATATCTCTTGCTAATCGCACTCGGCGAATATACAGTTCTGATATGTTAGAAGAGGAACCGGATTCCCACCACCCTTCACAGAAAAAAACATAAAGCCTAAACCTCACAAAGAGGTTACTATCGTGCCAAAAAAGACACTCTATATGAATCTAAACTTCAAAGGTGATTCTGCCGCTGACACTCTCTAAAAAGAAGGATATCAAACGCATTAAGGAGAATATTCTTTCCATCACCGATGAGACTAGTATTCTCTTGTCGCCCAACTAATTCTAACAAACCAAAGGAGGAACTTTCACATCTGACCACTTCTATATGCACATATCAATTCACCTGCTCTTGTAGGCCCAGCCATATAGGTAGCCTGATACAACTGTTATCCAAAAAGGTTCAACAGCACTATCCTACGTGGTTGCAAAGAGGTTTCAATGGGGCGGTAAGCAGAGCTATAACTGAACACATAGTGAACACGAATCACTCTATCTCAAGAACCTCCTCGTTCAAAGTCATCGATAAAGTGAAAAGAAAACTTTTCACAGCTGTATGTCTTCGTATTCTCTGTATCGCCGAAGCTCTTACCAGCCAAATGGAGAAACCTGAACTGTGTACGTAAAAGAAGATTGTTCAACCCCTTCTCCTTTCATGGTTTTAGTTTTCAGTCTCCTTTACCCCAAACCACCTTTTTCTTTTCATTTTTCTGTATTGACACTATTCACTTTTTATGTCGTCATGTTACGAAACTTCTTTTCCAAACTTCTTTTGGTCAATATTCACTACACACCAGTCTTTTGATTTTTGATTTTAGTAACAGATCATTTATTGATATTATCTGTGTTGCCATGCTTGACAAACCGTTTTCAACTATCAAATCCCTACACTAGAAAAATGTATACATTTGTGATTGTGTACAGCTTTGAAAATCAAATTACCGAAAAGAGACTCTTCGCTCAAAGATACTTGTTATTCTTTCACATCTTTATGGGTATATTCAACATATTTGAAAGTAGTTTCCATTAGATATTGGAATCATTTGGAGAACCAATGAATACCGAGTCCTAGTTTGAAATTCGTGGGTGCACACCGTTGAGGAGTCACAAATCAGAATGAAACACCTGTCCAATTCTCCCTAAAAACTATCATTTCGAATCGATTGTCGTCTAAAATGTATACCCGCTGCTTTAAAGTGCAGCAACATTTGTATTCACCTTAGTGAACAGTTGAGGACACACGTTTCGTCCCATCTAGAACTCGTCAGCCGAATGCACCTGCTGCAGCACCCCAGTGAATGATAATGTTTCCACTGAGACCTGAACCCAGTACCCATCGCTTCAAACGCAAAAAGTTTATTCATGAGAGCCACCACTAGGCCAACGGGTAACATCTGCTGTTGTTTGATACTTGTATTTTCCCCTATCTGTGAACAAAGATTGAGCTATTCGACACTGTATAGCGACGGGAAATTAAAAGTATCATAACAACCGTAACAACATTTGTTAACGGAAATTTCAAAGCACAGGGACAAGTGAATCTGAAAAAGTCAAATCTATTACTACCGTGTCTTATATAATTAATAATTTATTCCATTTTCTACGGTGAAATTATTCTTTCTCGTTTTAGAAAACAAAGCAACTAAAGCCAGATAATTTTGTACTCTCTTTTTCTTTAAAAAGAAAACTGATTTTATCATGCAAAAAAGGAAGAAAAACAGAATATACCCTAAAATTGGATATCATATAACATAAGTAGTAATGTATACGGATAACTAATTTTCTTCACATTAGAGGAATTACACAGGCGAGTATCTATCTGTACATCCCGTTTTATTGATGAATTTACAAAAAAAACCATTTAATCACAATCTTGAATGTTTTTACTCTTCACCTTCGCCCTATCACTTTATGCCTTCTCCCCCTCAACTCTTCACTGTCTAATTTGATCAACATTAACTGAATAGATTACCTATCTATACTGGGTGATGACTGAAGGTGAGATGAAAATCTGAACCGCGGCAGGATTCAAACCAGTGACCACTGGGTTACCGGCCCGGTGCTCTGCCAACTGAGCTACGAGGTCCAACTGCTGACTAGAATTTTATTTCACTTCAATCACCAAGAGTTTTGCCTGACTACAATGTGAATTCGTCACGCGTTTCTACCGCTTGGTCGTATTCACGCTGGCTGCCTAGCTAGGACTTCTCATCACCAATCCAAATCTAACTGAACCAGAGAGGGGAAGCATTGTATTGATTATGATTTGACTATCTAAGATAGCCGTAGTTTGGCATACTAGTGTTTGTACTGGGTGATGATTGAAGGTGAGATGAAAATCTGGACCACGGCCGGATTCGAACCAGCAACCACCGGGTTACCGGCCCGGTGCTCTACCAAATCACCGAATAAATAAAACTCTCCTAAAATAGGCAAAATGAAAGACAAACACAAAATCTCTTCATCTTTGTAGTGCAGGTAGACAGACAACATAGAACCATACCCAGAAGTCTATAAGTTTAAGTTGCAACGCATACCGTCAATACACAAGAGAGAAGGTATACAAAAGGACAGAAAGACAAACAGAATCAATGTAGAACCTCTAACACAAGTCCATCACTTCAACTTGCCTCATTTCAAAGTAGTATACAGAGAAGAAGTGGATTGGAAAAAATGATGTCAAAGCAGTTGTATCAGAAAACAAATAATCTGAAGATAAAGGTTAGTGCAAAAATTCAGCCTTAAGAAGATATCAAACGTCACTAAGAGTTCCTAAACACTGGTTCCTATCGTACCAACGGGGAACCTCATCCACGTAGTCTACATCTCTCCGCACGGTTCAGACCAACAGTCATAGGTTGGTGCCACGTCTCGGTCTGACCATCCTCAACTGTGTTTCAACATATGCCAACTTCCCCTGACATACTACGTTGAGGTAGGCGGTGGCTCGGCATGCGCAGTACATGTCCAAGCCATCTCAGTTGACTAAGGTCCACAATCTTATCAATCGGCTTACCTGTCTTGGTGCCTAGTACTCTTTGCCTGACCTCAACATCGCTCACACGGTGATTCCACCACATATGAACAATGCTGTGAAGACACCTGCGGTCAAAAACCTGTAACAGCTTCATGTCTTCTACTTTCAATAGCTATCTTACAGTCACACACAAACAATTAGACACCAGGGATGAAAATCACTAAATAGTTTTTTTTCGATCAGAGTCACAAAGTCTGAACAACTGCTTATGCTCATAACGAGTTTGTGTATTGTAGAGTGAAATGATTTGTTATTATTTCTTAATATACCGTAAAGAAGTGGCAATTCAAACTGTGGAAGTGTATCTCACTTGTTTAACCACTCGACTTTCAAACAGTGGATCATGGGTATGAACCTCGCGATGTCTATCGAGATGTTTGGGCAACCTTGTAGTATTGTTAGCTTTCACGCAATACGCGTGATTCATGGACTACTACTGCATGAACAACTTTGCATGTGTTAATGTAAGTAGAGAATTCGGGCGTTGTGGTTCATTTCATACAGCATACAATGATATAGTATTATCTACCAGATGACATTTATCGCTTATAATCATATCAAGGTAATCACTGATCAACCTGTCCGTTCATTCCGGCATTAGAAAAACCGAATCCCAAAACAATAATCCACGAAAGACTGTGTGTGATAGGCCCTCAAGCAGATGTCGCATGAGTCCTATGGTCACATGTCTTCCTCTCCTTTCAGATACCTTAAGAAGAAATAGCTTTCCATGATGTGAACAGTCAGGAAGTGTCAACCATCTAAAAGACCTTTGTCTCTCCACTTACGTGTATCAGTCTTTAGAACTGCAACTCTTCCCTACCCTATTGTGTGGTTGTGTATTATCGCAGGTAAAGATATGGCTCAGTTCTTCCCTACATTACTCATTTTAGTACGTGTTTATGTACTGCATCTTGAGAAACACTGAGTGTGTGAAGGCTAATGATACCAACCGGATGACACTAAAGGACACCTTGGTAACCGGTAGAAATGTATTGGCTGGCTGACTGCCAGTCCCCCCCCCCGCAACAGTACCTGTGACTGACTACTTTTTATTTAAAAGTCAGATGATGATTATTTTACCTTGGTCATATTTTTGCATAGATGTGACTATTCCAGTTGCTGAATGCTTTTTGTAATCCTTCCACCTAGCTATTGTTGGAAATATAAATAGTCAGTGGGTTTACAATTCAGTCTTTTGATTTCATCGAACCTTGACTATGAACAGTCGCTGATTCCTCATAGTGAGTCAATCATACCGAAGTAATGAATTAATGCAAACATTAAATGACAGCGTCTCAGTAACCGTGTGCTTGTCAATGAACTAAGCGTAATGAACTATGCCTACTGTTCGATGCCCAATGGTGTTACCTCCCTACCCAAACTTCAGTAGGCGGGGGGGGGTTAAGGATCCATAACCTACATGGTTAAAAATTGACTGTCCAGGCTACGGTAACACAGCTCCACCGATTCAACCGCCGATATAATGTTCGGGCTAACCTAAATAGTACAATTAAATCCATCATATATCCAGGTTAACGTCACACTTAGAAATCATCCTCGCCTAACCAAATTCCTTACTTTTTTGACTACTTTCCATTACCTTATTTATCATTAGGAGATTTCTATCTGTTTTCAGAAAGTAGTTTTTGTGTTCTATTCTTGAAAGCAGGCATTACTGATAACATACCCCAACCGGGTAGGTCGATAAGAGATTGTAATTTATTTCTGACGATTGCCCATACGACAGGATATATATATATATATATATATATATATATATATATATATATATATATATATAATGGAAAAAAAACCTTTTTTTCTTTCACTGAATGAGCGATAAAATCAAAATATTAGGTTTTCAAACTATTTTAAAACAAAACCATTTGATACCAATATCCATGAAAAGTAGGTATAAATGAAGACGAAGTTGGCAGCCAGAGATACTAAACTAACCACCAAGAAAAAATGCGCAGAATCTGATTATCATAATTTGTAACGGCAAGAAAAGAGAAAATGAGTAAAACTGAAATATAATACAGTGAATAAAATGCAAGACAGATGAACAAGGAGGAGATAAGTACAGAATAGTGAGGCGCACACAATTTGGCAAAAAAAAATGAACAGTCGGTTTTGAGCTGCTTCAAATACAAGCTATCCAACCAGAGAGGTTCCCACTATGTTGACTACTTAAGTTAAGAAGCCAGTATTTCATCTCGACTGGATGAAAATCTTGGATTCCATATAGCCTAATGCTGCTCTAGTCATGATGAGACTATGGCGTTGACAAGCTATGACTAATGCATAGCCTGAACACCTCAATTAGAAACATTCTTTAATCGCTACAAGTGATTTAGCCTACTTGACTCAAACTCTATGCCCAGTGTTCACTCATTGGATTGACTACAAATCAACAATCAAAATGGTCTAAACGCTCAACCTTGAATGACCAGTTTACGAATCCTGTGCCAAATTTACATACTCCAATATAGGACAAGATTTATTTAAAGTCTGTGTAGTATACTGTGATGAAGCCCGTTCTATCCTGTTAAACAACTGTGAATAGAGCCGTTAAGAGTAGAATACATGAAGTGGTTAAAGGGTTTGGATCACAGGTGACTTTCTGGCATTGCTTGGGCTTGAAGGAATCATCGTGTGAGCAATACCGAGGTAAAGTGAAGGGTACTAGGCGGCAAGACAGGCAAGCCGATTAGTGAGGTCACGAACCTTTATCGGCTGAGATGGCTTGGGTATGTACTGCGCATGCCGAGCCACCGCTTACCTTGACGCAGTACTTTAGGGGAAGTTGGCATAGATTGGAAGAGAGTTGAAAGTGGCCAGACTAAGAAATGGCACCAACCTATGACTGTTGGTCTGAGCTGTGTTGGAAGATGTAGACTGCCTGGTTGGAGTGCCCGAGACGAAAAGAAACAGTGGTTGAGGACTCTTGGTGACGTGGTTGGAAATCAGTCACAGAAAAGCAGGTGTATTCATTCCTTGATAAATTCTAAAGCTTGAATATTTCCACTTACCATTATCTTCAGATTGTCTATTCTGTGGCATAATTTCGTCTTCCTCAACATCTCTGCTTTTCATCTACTTGTTTTCTGTATGCTAGTGTGCAGGGTTCTAGGTTGATTTTGTCTCACTGTGTGTCATATGTAGTAAACAACGCTTGACTAACAACCTAGTAAGTGAGTGTGAAAGTGTTAAAATCGATTCATCTAACTCCTTCTCTTTTCCTCTTCTATTTCAGCTTGGTTTAGGTCTGGGAGTTGTCTTCGATTTAGACATAGATCAAGCATTTGGTTTGTTCATTTGTTCAACTGTACCGGCCGGTGGATTAGCTTACTTACTGACATACCTAAGTAATGGAGATAGACAGTTATCAGCAGCACTATCTTTGATCTCAAGTATAGCTGATTTGGGTGAGTGAAAAACATTGAACATGTTGTTCAGTAATCATGCTATTTTGTCAATTTTTATTTAAATCTATTTTCTTATGCTAACCATTAAACCTAATCAAAATTAGATGTGAATGGTTGATTTTCATCATGGACCGACATCGGTTGGAGAACCACTGAAAACCTGGGAGCATTGGACAGCTGTTTCATCCTAGTATGAAAATCCTCAGCGGACCACACCCACGACCTCACCAGGGATTGGACCCAGGATTTTCGAGTTCTGCGGCCAACACGTTACCATTAAACCACAGGACAGAAATACAATGGTCCACAATTCCTACCCCTGTTAATTGAGGATATAGAGCGACCTCCATCTAGCTCCGTGGTTGAGTAAATGTCTTCACGTTGTACCTGGTTGGTTCCACCGGTCACGACTTCTCATTGGGACTTAGGGAATCACCTCTCGAAGCTAGTCACCAATGAGCACTACATTAATTTAATTTGGAGGTTTTTGAATGAGCTAACTTTTGTAAGTGGAAGACATTTTACTCTTAGATGTGTGAAGCAGTGGGTCTACGTAATATGCTTGCCAGCAGGAACTATGCAGAGAATAATTTACAATTAAAATGTCACCAAATGATTCACAAGTGAATGCCACAAAAAGCATGTATTCTCTTCAGACTCCCGGAAACAATCATCAAGTGTAGTATTGCCTGGTTCAATGACTCCTGCCAACCGACTCCGAACATTCAGCAGTAAATATTGCACTCAAGTGTTTATACTAATTAACAAGATAAGTCTATAGCTTATGTAAGAGTAGGATAGATCATTTCACTACGGTAAAATATAACTCCATATTAAATAAGTTTATTGGATATAACATAGCGAAACAACAGTATCTAGTAGTATCCAGATAGGCCATTGGTGATGAGTGCCAGCAAGCATGAAAACTAAGTCCAGGGCTTCTTTCCGATTGCATTTAGTAAAATAACATCTATCGAAGTGCACCATGATGTTTAATCAACTAACCTGGTGGTCACATTGCAAAATAATTGATAGAATTCGATTAGTACTATGGACTACATAACGTGAAGTTGGTTACACGCCAGTGATAAATCAATGTACCTAATCCAGTCCTACAGGAGGTCAGTTGCCACCTGAATAGCTCAGTGGTAACGTCTCTAACCGTAGCAAAAACACTTCTCTTTATCAAAGTGAGTTTTATGCTTTATTCACAACCATGATGTTAACTGGAGATGTGGATAGAATCTGAATGCCCAAGAATCTTCAAACATTCAATGTTATCTTTTGCAGATTGATTGGGTAACACACACACACACACAAGGTTATCAATCTCTTAGATTTATTGTTAACTGATACTTGTAATTTCCCGTTGCTATACTGCGTCGAACTGCCTGACGTCTGTTGGCAGTTGAGCTCTCACATGGATGTTGCGATACCGCCCGAATACTCATTATATTGTAGTGCATTTGGTGCATGTACATCCAGTTGACGACTCCCAAATACGACAAAATTCGAGTTCTGGATTCCACTTCTAGTCACTAAATAGACTACAATATAATAAATACCCGAGTAGTATCGAAGTATTTGCGTAGAAGACCAAATGCTAATAGAGACAAAGGAATTCTACCCAGCAAAACGACGAGGAATCACAAGTATCGATAAACGACTGATACCGGTTGGACAAGTAGCATCCTTCGTGCTCCAGTGGCCGAGTGGATAACGCTTTGCTGTTTGAAGCCATGAGCACTGGGTTCTAGTCTTAGTGCGAGCAACACCACTAACCGGGATGGAGGTGCATCCAGCTGACGAGCCCCAAATGGGAAGAAACACGCATCCTGAATTCCACTGTGAGCTACCAAATAGACTACAACCTTTGTGATTGTTCTTTCCATCCTAAACTTCAGTACACCTGATACCTGAGCTACTTTCAATGAGACAATTGGATGGAACCCAAATTTTATTTGAAATATTGTTGCCTTTTGCACCTCAAACTATCTTACTGTGACACTTTCATTGAAGATCATGATATGTTCTGACAAGTTTATAGGCCAAACGATCTTTATATTAACTATCAGTTGTACCAAATCAAGTTTGACATCATTATATACGGTAAATTATGTCCGTTTAAGAAAACCGACATAAAAATTAACGTCGTCACATCGTTACCACCCACCAGTTATTTATCAAATTTATTTTGAACTACTTACAAGTAGCCAAAATGTATTACAGACATTTTTCCAATACAAGCTAAGAAAATTTCCTTATATTGATTGCCTTTAGCACATAGAATGCTTTTTCATCTATAATTCTGTATATTTCTTATTCAAATTGTTAATTATGCAAACTTACTCTCCCACCTTACATTTCAGCGGTTACGCCAGTGTGGGCAATGACAATAGGCTGGTATTGGTTTAATCGTCCAATAAATATTGCAAAAACATTTGGTTGGTTATTGCTTATAGCAGGAGCACAAAGTATAGGAACTTTAATGCGAGGATGTCGACCAGGCTTAGCACGTGGTATTTTAACATGGGTAACTAGACCACTCCTTTTATTATCTGGCATACTGTTGGTCACACTCGGAGTATACATTAATCATTATGCTTTCAATGAAGTGACACAAAGTTTAATCCTAGCTTTACTAACTCTTATTACATGCGGTTTTGCTGTTGGATGGCTAGTTGGTACATTGACCAATCAAGGTTGTACAGGATCAAGAACATTATCTACAGCATCTTCAGTATTTAATGGTCTTTTGTGTATACCTTTGTTAAGAACATGTGTACATGCACCAGAAGGTGATTTAGCCGCTGTAGTTGCATTATGGACAATATTCTTTGCACCTATTCCATTGGCCTATCATGCAGCAGTTACAATAGCTGAGGTAAACTTCATTTTTAGGGCTGTACTATTGGATGGATTAACCATTATTATTATTATTATTATTATTATTATTATTATTATTATTATTATTATTATTATCATTCAATTGCGATTAAGTGTGGCAAACCGCAAAACAGTAGAAAGTTACGTCAGAAAATTTGAGGTTGCTTATAGCTAGGTATGATAGGTGCTTACCACTACCAGGTACTACCACTAATCAACGAAAAGTACTTTGTTATTTTACCCTTAATAGTCACACGTTAAGAAAATTTACTTATGGGATGATAAATTTGCAAATGATTTACAAAGTATTTGGTCCGCATTGACATTTCTCACAGGTGAGTAGTCTTTCAATTGCCCAACTGTGATGTCAATAGGTTTTCCGCTGGAAACCGCTTGTTAGACTAGATCACAAGGTACAATTTCTGAAACGGAATTGTCATTAACCAGCGAAATATACTGCTGAATTATCTGAGTAGTTAGAAACCATTCAAGCTGATTTTTAGATCTCATCACCCAGACCAGAGTGATTTAAACATCGAACAGCTCCGTTTTTAGGAATACTAGTTCATACAAGTCAGTCAGCCAGATTCACATAGTCTGAATTACTTCGGCTCTATGAGAGGAATTTGTCCGCGTACACCGCTGATGAACTCGACCTTAAAAGAGAGAAACAACCACCAGGTGCTTAGATCACTCTCATCCAGTTGGTAAAAACTACAGATCAAACTTAGTGGTTTCTAACTACTTAAGTTGTTCAGTAGTATATTTAGAAAGTTACTTTTCATGCATCAACCCTAGGAAATCGCTTCATTATTACACAAGTAAGACAAATATATATGAAGTTAACTGGTTTGGGATTCAGACTACCAACCACCAAGTCACAAATATGAAGCACACCCCCAGACAACTTCAACCTGGAGAGTCAAATACTATGAGCCATATGATATTAGGTTTGGGGCCTAAGCTAATGCACGAATGTATATGGAAGTTGATTCAAAGAAAGCAAAAGAAGAGAATAATACATTCAAGACTTGAAGAAGGGATTAAAGGTTGAATTCATCTGTGCCATGGCAATTTATTTTAGGCCATGCGACATATGACAGACAGACAATAATCAAGATATTGTATAAAAGCCTATTGGATCAAGTTGCCAACAACTGTGATAGTAAAGAAAGACCCAAATGGAGTACAACCTTAGTCGTATGATTGTTTTCGAATTATTTTCGGGCGATTTCAGAAATAGTTCAAGATTGGAATTACGGGAGATTTTGTTACGGCTTTCTTTGGCCTCTATTTTTGAAAAGAAACACAAATGCACTGAAAGCTAATTTAAGTGTATTTTGTGCAATCGATTGTCTAGTCACTCGTTTTTCGTTTCCTGGCCCACATCTTTGCTTTTCCAGTCAAACAGACAGACAAAATAAATACATGACCTCGCACATACATGCAACACTTCACGTTGCCATACTTCAAACTAGTATATAAAAAGAGTGATGTCAAAGTTGACAAAGTTGTAAGAGTATAGACAACCTAAAGATAACAGTCACTGCAAATATTTGAGCTTTAGATGTGAAGAAGTGGATATACTTGTGCCACTGTGACCGACATCCAACCATGTCACCAAGAGTCCTCAACCATCAATTCATTTCGTTTCGGTAACGTCAACCAGGTAGTCTACATCTCTATACACGACTCAAACAAACAGTCTAGGACTTCATGCACTGGTGTCATATCTTGTTCTGGCCACGGTCATCCCACTTCCCATCTAATCTAACTTCCCCTAGAATCGCATATCGACGTATGTGATATCTCGGGAAGCGTAGTACATATCCTAGCCATTTCTATCCACCAAGGCTCACAACCTCATCAATTGACCTACCTCTCTTTTTAGGTACCGTTCACCTGACCTCAACGTTTCTCACTTGTTGATTTCACCGAATGCTAGAAAAGTTACGAAGACATCTATGATCAAAAACCTGCATTCCCAGGTTGATAGTGTTGATATACTACATTGTATAGCACATTTATTAGTGCTGAATGTTATGGCAGGTTTGCGTTTAAATACGTAAATGGTAAATAAATGAAGATAAGGAATACTTCCAACGGAGACAACCTGTCATTTTTATTCAAAGCTTCATATGACTGAAAAACAAATGAAATGCAGTAATAAGAGTTTACTTTCTTGACTCTTACGAAGTTATACATTATTTTTACACCGACGAAAATGATCAGTGCGAGGGTGTGAATGTCCATACTATAACTTTGTAACTAGCGATAGTATGTAAATAATGTTTGGTACACTTATTATTTTATCACCTATGATACCAAACGATGATTTAAAGTGATTAACCGGTTAGAGGCAGAATGTAAACCAGTGGTCTCAGAGCTAGTTTGACTAAACACTACTACAATGCATATTCACTTATTTTCCATCTTTTTTCTTTCACACAGAAATGGTTAACAAGTTACCTGCAAAATAGAAGAAGGAAGCGTGAAGAAGAAAATTACATGGCTGCTATGATAGGCGGAAAACAACACCAATTTGGTGCTACTTCTATTGCTGCCGTAGCTGCTGCAGCTATCGCAGTTACACCAGCTATCACAGCCGGGAGTCGACCTGATAAAAACAAAACTTCAACCGCCCATTCTTCAGAAGTAGTATTTTATAACGATGATGATAGTAGAGACAACAGTGCTTACGTAACACAATCACCACCTATAAAAACAACATTTGAAGCTTCAAAGAAAAAGTCTCTGAACACTGTTAACACACCGACTAGTTCAATGAACCATCCTTTACAGTATGAAAGTAATTTAGACAACTATGGACAACATGGTGTGCGCAACTTGTACAGAGAACATTTCAAACCGATCGTTGATGATGATGATGATGAACTAGAATTGAATATATTAACTAATAAAAACGCCACATCACTGTCAAGTAACTACAAAAATAGATCACCTGTATTCGCAGCACAGCAAACACGTGCCAAAAGGGCAAATTGGCTTACAGATTCTATAAATCTCAGCGACAAACAACAAAAACGTGAAGGGAGAGATGAATCCACAGAAACAGAATCAATGATAACCTGTAAGCCAAATGATCACAGAAACATGGGTATACGCATGTTTATGTCTCACAACAGTAATGCAAATTCAATGGAATACCAACCTGATAATCGTTATATATCACCAGCAGATATAGGAAAAGAATTGAAACGAGCCAGTCTCCAGTCAACTGTAAATTTTATGGAGAGAGATCATCACCACTCTACTGCAGCTAACGCATCACCACCATATACAAACCTCTGATACACACTACAAATCAGACTTAGTCTCAATAAATGCAAAGACAATCACAACCAACAATTATGATAAGAATGCTGTAGTTAGCAAACTCTCGAAAGAAATAATCTTTGTAGAATGTTGATAATTACTTAGTTTCTCACAAATGTTATCCTCTCACCTTTTCACTGGAGAAAATTCATTTTCCTTTCTTGTTAAAGAAAAAATAAGTAACCAGTATGGGTGTTTGTGTACAAACATTATTTTGATACCTAATAGTGCACATTTGCTGTTACCTAACAAGTGATACTATATCTTAGCTGACCTAATACAAAGACGTAAAAGAAACAGTTGTAATTTGTTTGAAAAATACAGCTTTGAGTAGTGAGTTGTAAGTCATTTGTCAAATAAGACAACCATGAATATGCGGCTTAACCGGAATCTTGCAAAGTTATACGTCCAGTAATCTACTACACCTGAACTGGAACTAATATTTTTGAGTCTTGAAATAACATCACTCACTGGGAGGTAGGTACATCCAGCTGATGAGTCCCCAATAAAACAAAATGAGTCCTGGATTCCACTGCTAGGCACCACTCATCATTACTATCAAACCATTAGTTCATTTGATTCAAACACACACATTCTAGAAGAATAATGCATGAAATCATATCGGCAAGGAGAGAATAATGAAAACGTAAAAATGAACTTAATAAATGGAGAGAAATTAGGTCATACACATTGTTCACAATGACTTAGCAAGGATATTATGCTTGTCCGAGAAGAATCTAACTTGAAGCTCTCATCGGATGCTGACAAACATCCCATTTTCACAATTTACAGAGGATAATTACAAACTACACACTCTAACATGATTTCAAGACCACAGTCCGATATACTTTCTCACTAGAGTTAACGTGGCTCATTGGAATTTACAAGTACAGTTTATTAGGGACGAGTAATCTAGATACGACATAAACAATGTCAGTCGACAACTTATTCACTAACACAAAGAAGAAGACATTATTGGACTGAAGAGGACTGATTCAGTCGGAAAGCATCAACCTTGGGGTGTAACTCTTGCCTTTATATACAATGTGGACGTCCTTGGAGCCAACAAACAAATTTGGAATATTAAAAGTGGAAGGTTAATCAATAAGGAAATAGTGTTCTTGAAAGTGGTAAGAATGAGATGTTTACGTGAGATGAGAAACGGCGCGAAAAAAATAGTTCAAACTTCCTACAACGCAAATATGTAAGTAGGCAAAAACGTTCATTTCTGGGATCCGATATCTCGGACATGGCTACTAACTTAAGTTGCTGACTGACAACTAATAAACGTCGCAAGCTAGACCAAACGCTTCGAATGCCCACAACTTTACTGTGATTATAAGGTGTAAAACACATCATCAACAAGTGATACCAACACAGAACATCTTTGAAATTCTCCCAGTAAGTTTGAACAGAGACTGTAAAGCATAGACAGATAGACAAATAAAAGAACCGCGCACACAAGTGTATTGCTTCGATTTGCCATACTTCAAATTAGTATACAAAGAACAGGTGGATGGGAAAAGAGCGACATCAAAGTAGACAAAGTTGTGTAAAGGAATAAACAATCTGAAGACAAAGGTTAGTGCGAATATTCAAGCTTTTGAAGATGTAAAGGAGTGAATACATCTGCACTACTGTGACCAATTTTCCGCCATGTCATCAAGAGACCTCAATCACTGATTCCTGTCACCCCGTATGCTCTACCCAAGTAGTTTACGTCTCCTCACGTGACTCACACCAGAAGTAACAGACTTCCTCGACTGGTGTCACGTCTCGGTCTGGTTACCCTCAACCCTCTTACAACCTGCCTAATCCTAATTCTCCCGGCATGGCACGTCGAGGTAGGAGGTGGCATGGGATGGGTAGTATATGTCCAAGTCAACTCACCTGACTAGGATTCACAACCTCATCAAATGACTTACTAGCCCGTCTTACCTAGTACCCTTCGCCAGACCTCACATGGTGATTCTACCAAACACAAACAATGCTACGAAGATAGCTGTAATCGCTTCATATCTTCTACTTTCTCAGTCGTATAACAGGACAAAACGGACTGCAGCACATTACACTCACCCTTGGATAGATAATCAGATACATCATCAGTTGGCGCCACAAGTGACGCAAGTTGGTAGAAGCTAAACAAGCCTTCTGTATCCAAGCTGAGATTTCGTCAGCAACCAACCCGTTCGGGTTGATGCAACTTCCCAAGGAAGTCAAGTAGTCGACACATTCCATTACTTCACTCCCTATCATCAAACTGGAGTACTTGAGACCAGTCCTTCAGCATCATCTTACATTTGACAGGTACCAGCAAAATGTATGACAAACGTACTGCGAGTTTCGCTCAATGCATCCAGAAGACCGTGCCTTTTGACAGAGTTCTTGCCCAGTAGCACAATATTGTCTCCCAACTCCAAGTCAACCAGATACTCTTCAGGGAATAGATCAGTCTCTGTGAAGTCAGACGCATCTATGATTATGTCCACTAGTACGTCTATGACGGAGTTAAGTATTGATGGTGACAGTGGGCATCCCTGGCAGATACCATCAGCTGTCGTCAATTTACATGACAACTCTCCATCAGCCCTTACACGGCGGCGTGAGTTCGAGCAGAGAGCTTGCACAAACATTATAACCTCTGAAATAGTGAAAAACAATTGTAGCTCATGTGGATGGTTTTGGTTGTACTGTGTTCTCTGAGCTGGGTTGTTTAATCGTCAAGCTTTCATCGTCTTTCTAGACGACATTATCAGCACTCACTTCATACTTCACTAAATTCATAGTGAAGTGAGTGTTGATGTCGTCTAGAAAGATGATGGAAGCTAGATGATCAAACAACCCAGCTTAGAGAACACAATACAACCAAAAATTGTAACCTTTATTTGTCCTGGAGTTGCATTAGACTACAAAAACGAGATGAAATACGAACTTCTTAAGCACGCGACTGATGCGACCATTCTTTTGTTACTGATCAGTTATTTCGCTACATATTCTATCCACTAGTTTTCTTTTGTCACGATGTAATACTATTTGGTACAGTGCAACTTCATAGAAGCTACCTTGGAATATACCTGTAGGACGAGAAGATTAAGGTACTTCGCTTAGTCGCACTGGATAGCTTAACGTCAGGGCAACAGAGTTTTGGATAACAGGAGGAACTGCTGGATCTTATGTAAGTAAAAATGGGGCTATCGAAACCCCCCAGGCAGCATTTGCTTCGGATGCACACTGTAAGTTTTGGGCAAAAACCCAAAAATTTTACCCCAGGCTTAGATGGGAAGATGCACGACATTCCCCGAACTTCGTAAACATTTTCCTTGAAACTGTCAAAAGTTTTGAAGTGAGCCCAAATAGCATGCAATGCACCTGAAGTTTACAAAGTGTAGGCAGTGCGCCCTAAGTTTTGGAATAACCTATATCCACAGTTCTAAGAAGCCATATGACTTTTTGCTAAACATATGTTTGATAATATTATCATGCATGTCGTTCACATTTCATTGCTACATGTCTCTGTGTATTACAAACGGCCAACGGAAACGATTGGGAAATTTAGGGGACACCCGAAGTTTGTTAAGGTGCACGAAGTAAATGCTGGCAGGACCATAAATCACAAAATAGCGAAATATCGGATAACTTCAGCGTACCACTAGCCAACCCATGAAAGTAAATGTGTCAGAAATTAAACATATTTAGACAAATGATAATCCGTGTCACATCAATTCCAAAAACTATTTGGAATAAGGAACAAATTATTCTCTTGTGTGGAAAATGACGAACTTTCAACCATTTCAAGTCATAAAGTGGAGGATTATAAGGGATAAATAAGGTCTTTATATAAACCATCGACAAAATTTTCATAGCTTACCTCTCACTGATAACACATCCCTCACATTTTCTGTAGGTACCGTCATTTTAGAATGAGGCGCTGAAATGATCCAAGTGTTCCGATAGTTCAAATGTTTGTTAACGGGATAGGAGCTTTCGATTAATTAGCTCCCGCATCTAAAACCTGTGGATCACTACTCCCTCTGGTTGTTAACCTGTTTAAAGGTAAATAGAGAGGAAAATATGGCGGTTAGAATGTGAAAATTTAATTAGTTCCGGTGAGATCCCAAAGATATATCAAATAAGTATTCAGCCTGCATTTAAAGGATTCAGATGAAGTAACCTGGATTACATCTGTTGCAAGAGCACTCCATAATTTAACAACTCTAAGGGAATAAAAGTTGTGCCTGATATCTAACCTGCTCTTTTCCAGGCGTAGTTTCTGTATGTCCTCTAAGACTAGTGCTACAGATAAGATTCAGTAAGTGACAGAGTGTTCAGGAGTGCTGAGGGTGTTTTGGGCCATTATAAAGTCTCCTCTTGGCCTTAAACACTTCAGGGGATACAGATCCTGCGCAACCACTCGTTCTTTATATTGTTTTAGGCCTAAGTCCTCGAGCAGATTTGTTCGAGCGCCTCTCGATGCATTCTGAGCTTTATTTATCCCTCTGAAAGGAGAAGGGGATGATTATGGTCTGGAACTCCGGTTGTGAAGCTGTTGGAAGTTTGGTGGAAACATTTACCACCGAATTGTAGGAAAATTCGTCTAAATGTTTCCGTGAAATGCATTTCTGTCACAATTTGCATTGGATTTTTAGTCTTGAGAGACCGAAACCCCTCCCCGTCAGTGACACTTCAATTTCCATGCCGTTGGGGTTTATATACATGACATGAAGCTTGTTTTACATGCAACGCCTTGCGTTTTTTCAAGACCGAATGCGAGCCTGAGTAACGTCTTCCTGGAAGGCAACACTGTCTCCCTCACTTTTGATTCCTCTCCATAGTTTTACTCCGTAGGCGGAAAGAATAATTGCGGAAGAAACCTGTCGAGGCAAGTCGATTAAACACATTGGAAAAAGAACAGGCTGTAGTACTGAGCCTTGGAGAACATCACTGAGACATCGTTTTTATTCAGATACAAAGATCAA